CGATCTAGGCTAGGTGTAGATCTTTCCTACCAGAAGATCAGGGGTGTGGCAGAAAGACAGCAGTAAGGAGGAGCCAAGGAGTAACAGTAGAAAGGCTGCAGAAAGAGTCATGAACCAGTAAAAACCTTGAGTGACGACCTCGCCAACAGCTTTTCCCATTCTCACCTTGTCCTTGTACGCTGGCAGCCTGAAGGCCACGTCGCAGAGAATTGTGTTCAGGCAGAAACTGAAGCATTCACTCATCGGCAAATCTGAAAAAAAACCAACACATTTTTAGAGTCCAATTCTCATAAAAATTGTAAAATTAATGCGTCTATTATTAAAATTTCACTCGTAAAAATGTCTCTTACTAAATAAGTGTCACTCATTTATATAAATTCCTTCATCATGCAAACTTCACTCAAGGTACAAATGAGGGTTTGGAAGATAAATTTCAAGTGAAAGAGTCACTTCCCTAATATCATTTACAATCTTGAAATGGTACAAATGTCACTCGCTGTACAAATGTCCCTGACTGTACAATTACCACTGATGGTTATAAATTTAGCAAAGTTTCTTAAATGTCACTTAAATTTTACACCCATCAGTCATCGCACAAACGTCACAATACAAACCTCATTAACAGCGTACAAATGTGAGGCAGCGTGGTGGAATGAGGCTCTCGTCAATTTTTGGGTATGTAGAGTTATTGGTAACATCGTAAAGCTTATTCACTTGTCTTTATTTGGATGAAAAAAATATCCATTTATCTTGAATACAAGTCGAGATATTTGCGAAAGAAGGAGGTGGGGGTCACTTGTTTTCAGAGGTAAAATTAGTGAGAAAATGGCCGCCAAAGATTAGTTATTTCCTTAGCTTGAGAGTCCGTGGCAACTGAAAATTTATATTTTTTGTGCCTTTAATCAACGTTTTTCAGAAAAATCAACAAAGAAATGAATTCTTTAACGGGCATGAAAGGTGTTTAGTCCACGCTGCCTCACAAATGTTTCTCCATACATAAGTAACACTCATTTTTATAAATGTCACTCACTGTGCACAGAAGTCACTCAATGTAGAAATGTCACTCACTGTACAGAAGTCCCTACATGTATAAATACCACTCATTTCACTACGCTTTATAAATCTCACTCAATTTTATACCTCTGTCACTCACTGTACAAATGTCAGTAACTGATGTCACTTAATACAAAAATGTCACCCACTGTTCAAATGTCACTAACTGATGTCAATTAATATAAAAATGTCACTAACTGATGTCACTTAACATAAAAAAGTCACAAACTGATGCCACTTAATATTTTTTTTAAGTAACTCGCTGTACAAATGTCACTAACTGATGCCACTTAATATTTTTTTTAAGTAACTCGCTGTACAAATGTCACTAGCTGATGCCACTTAATATTTTTAAAAAGTAACTCGCTGTACAAATGTCACTAGCTGATGCCACTTAATATTTTTTAAAAGTAACTCGCTGTACAAATGTCACTAACTGATGTCACTTAATTAATATAAAACTGTCACTCACTGTACAAATGTCACTAACTGAGGTCACTTAATTAATAAAAAATGTCACCCACTGTTCAAATGTTACTAACTGACGTCACTTAATTAATATAAAACTGTCACTCATTGTGACCAGAAGTCACTCAATGTAAAAATGTCCCTCACTGTGCACAGAAGTCACTCACTCAATGTAAAAATGTCGCCCAATGTAAAACTGTCACTCACTGTATTTGTTGAGACCCTTGGGCCCGTCCAGCCACTGTGCCTCGGGCATATACTCAACGACCTGCAGCAGGTACTTCAAGATGGCGTCGCTGTGCTGAGGGCAGACGGAGGCAACACTGGATGAGATGTGGACTCAAAACTCCCATATACAAAATAAAGACAGATTTCCCAATTTAAGGCCGGTGATCTCTGAATGAAATTTTCCATCCCTTCAGTTTGGTAGAAGTTCTACAGCGCTTGCAACTGCAAGAAATGATCTATGGAAGAGTTTTAAAACACTCGCAACTACATGATGATGATGTCCCATGAGTTTATTTCCACCTCTGACAGGACTATCTATGGAAAGAAGGTTGGGAGCCATGAATACTCTTAAGTTTATTACAGATCACTCCCGTCAGGGAGTCCACCAACAAGTGTCACCTAGGCCATAGAGTAGAGTCAACCATGACGATACCAACGGACTCAGGGAGTCCAACAAGTATCACCTATGCCATAGAGTTGAGTCAACCATGACGATACAAACACAGCTATCTGCCCATCCAGAACTTGAGAACATGAGTTTTGTAAAAACAGACTTTACACACAGCTCACAACATCAGTGCTTTCTTGATGTATCTCCGCATTTTTTAACAGTGAAAATGTGACTTCTTCTTCTTCAGCTCACTCTTTGTTATGAACTGTTTTCACTTTTATTAAAAATGGAGATATTTATGACAAGAAAGTACCGCGGTTGCGACTGCTACCATCTGTTTCCTTGCAAGAACCAGAGAACCAGCAGATATTAGGAAAAAAGAAAGTATCGAGCATGTAATAATTTAATATTGAGTGATAATACAAAAGAACAACAAGAATTTTCTGACAAAAAGAATTTCTACAATGATGAATGAAAGTAAAGAGAGAATCTCTTCTATCATGGTGATCGAGAAAGCTTTAAAAAAAAAAAGCACTTTAAAAAATTATCTATCATATTAGATTGCAGTTGCAAACTAACAAACATGACTTATGCAGTTGCGAGCGCCGTAAAACTCTTAACTAAAACTAACAGACATGTTTGGCTTTTTAAATGTTTTTGATTATTGAAAAAAAATTTAAAATGTAAAAAGCATGAATGCAAGTTTGTTTCAGTGTGTACTTATCAGCATTTTCACTAGTCCCTCCCAACCTGTCTTTTACATGGTTAAATACCAACAGCTCAAAGCACCATGCAGGCGCTGAAGGATAATTTCACCTAATACTGATAAAGATGAAAATAATAATAATAATAATAATAATAATAATAATAATAAAAATAATAATAAAAATAGCGCATAGCTCAACAGCAGGCTCTATGCGCTTTACACTATATTATTACCCCAGCAGACCATAGAACACTCCGAAACATTCTCAGCTTCCCGGGAAGCATACAGTGCAAGCAGCTGATTAAGCGCTCAAACATTAACAAACTGACAAGATCTTTCGCTGTCTAAATAAAAATAAATAAAAGAAATCTTCCGTTCCCACAAAATTGAATTGAATGGCAGCCTACGTACCTGCAACCCAGACTCCAGGAGGTACACTCCCAGTGCTATGATGGCATTCTGGCCACGCCCGTCCAGTCGAAGGGTGCCCCCCGTGTCCTTGACATTGGGGCACATGGACATCAGTCGAGACACCTGGGGAAACAGTTTATTAGATAGAGAAAATCATTCATCACCAGACACGAAAGTCAGCTACACTACGTAATTTGTATGTTACCTCAACCTTTTCCTGTTCACATTCACTTCAAGCAAAGGCCAACCCTTGTTCAACTTTTGGGGCAAAGTTTATGTTCTTCTGCACTCAATAAAAGAAAAGTAAATTTTGACTGTTGATGCCAGCTCTGTCATTCTTTCCACACCAGAAATGAAAGCAGAGTTCAATGGCTTACTCACAGCAGTCATGATCTGTTTTTACCATAGCCAAGCTCAAAATAGACAAGAATCCTGTGGATGAAATGTGGGGAATTCAACTTTTTTTCTGCTGCATTTTTATTTTATATTCTTCTGGAATTGGCAGAATGGACCAGAAATAAGTAATAAACATCTAGAAAGTTGAAGAAATGGTAGTGTTAAACTTCCTCAAATGTGTGCACATCGAACTAAGTACACTCAAGTGGTAGATTAAAGTATCTCTTCAAGTGTAAGACTGTGCTTACGAAGCAATTTCACGACAAATAACAAAAAAGTTTTTAGCTCATTCATCATAGCTTCCCTGTCACATTCATTACTCTTAACATATGTGATGCAGTCAAAATTATCAATGACAGCGGCCCATTGCTGAGAGGGAAATGGTTCTTCTAGACGAATATTCGTCTTGAACTTGAACAGTGTCCTTCCTTATCCATAATATTAAAAAATAAGTTGGAGGAAGTAGGAAATGAAAATGGCCTTTTGCATGGCATGGGTGATTGTTTTGGACAGGTGGCTGTTAGAGCAGGTACGGCTGCATTTTGGAAAAGAAAAATAATCCTCTTGAATAAAGTTCTGCTGAGTCAGATGTTAAATTTAAAGGTGAATGCTCCTGTGATGTTTGAATGGGCTGCAAGAAACATGAAGCGTTCTCACAAATATGAGTTTTTCTTATGCAATCCACAAAAGGAGATCATATCAAAATTAGCCAAAAATCAAAAAGAGAGTCAGACTTAACATTTAATTTTCCGAGCTGATGAAACCTCTTTATATAAAATATTAAAAATTATGACTTATTTATAAGGCTAGGACAGTCGTATTTTAATTGTTCAAACTCAACCTGTAAATTTGGCATGTCTATGTCCATAGATAGGGCTAAATTTCCAGACTTGTTTAAACCTTTTGCCACTCGGAGGCGCCGATGTGCGCCGTCATCGCTAACCCCCGTAGTCGTCGATGTGCGCCGACACGCCCACTCGATTCACCCGTTCGCATTACTTTCGTTTACATTG